CCCCCCCCCCCCCCCCCCCCCCCGAACACCCTTCCTCATAACACCCCCCTCCACCCACAAACCCCCAATTCGATAGGACATTCTGAGCTTAGTTAGTGCAACATGAAAATTTAATAACACCGGATTTTTACAGGACTCGCTCTGAGTTCCCAAAATGCTTCTACGGTATGTGAAAGAGAAGGATATTGTTGCTACTGATTCAGTGACTTCCACTGAGGGCAACAACTTGAGCCCGTTTCTTCTTTTTGGCCTATATTGGTTTGCGTTTTGGCCAATTGGCGCCATTGAAAGTATGCCGAATTAGCTGTTAGCAGTTCTTGTCTGCAGTGTGCCCATGAAGGTAAAGACAAATGCCACCGGGTAACTTTGATACTGAAGAAAACGTACAATCGTGGTGATTCTCAGGCGAGTTCTGGAGTTATAAGGAGCGTCTTTTCTCCGAGCTGTTTATTGCCGATGGGCATTGCACATAAGTGAAGTGTAAGTCACATTGGGTCTGAACATGTGCATCAAATGTGTGTGGTCAGGTTTGACTGAGATATGACACGGAGAAGGAGTGTTTTGTAGTTTTGTTGTGCAAATTGCAACAATCGGGCCGCCAGGTGTTTTAAAGTACCTTAATTGTCTCCATGAGCTGCAGCAGCTTGTTATGACAACAGCTGCTGCAGCTGCAACTTCTGTCCATCTTGAAAAAGCATGGCCAAATATTTCAGGCCAAACTACAATAACTAACTTGTTGCTTTTAGAACGACTGCACGCACCTCCCCTGTTTCATCTCCCACAGTATCCTTGCCTCACATCCCTCCCTCCATACAACCCCCTGCAACTCCCCCGCGAGGGAGGCGTGCATCACAGTCTCAAAACCTCTGAACTCCACGGAAGCTGCGCTTGCTGTGACCAGATAACGTTTAAAGAGTGAGGAAATATGATGATCAAAGAGTTGTTCTTTTCTTGTAAGCCCACTTACAACTTCCTGTATAGTTGTGTCAGTCTAATCGTTCATCGCTCCCTTTTTGTGGCCCTTATTTTTTATTTTGTCTCATTTACAAAGCTCTGATTCGCCGATTGCTTCCAACAGCCATCAGTGAGCATGGCACCACGCATGTTTGAATCAGAGATGTGGACGGTGATGAAAACAGTGGGAATAAATATGTGCTGCTGCCGCTTCAGCTTCCCGGATCCCCACCTTTCTCTCTGCAGACTCCTGTGTTCTTTCATACAGCCTCGCTCTAAGCCTCAGCTGCTGCTGGCTCTGCTGAAAAATCATCATTAGTATCACCAGCTCTCTGTCAGAGGTGGTGTTATGGTCGGGAATCAAAACATCTGCTGCCTAAAAAAAAAAGACCTCGGGCCTGAAGTCTGCTCAGTGGAATAACAGGGCAGCTAATAATGCCGCAAATAAATAAAAAGCTGACATTATTTGGTCTTTAACACTAATTAAATCTGTTCTCGAGCTCACAGTATAGAGTGTGTGCCTGTGTGTGTGTGTGTGTGTGTGTGTGTGTGTGCCTGTCACCCGACTCCAGCCCTCCTCTCCTGTTTCCCGGAGAAACAAGAGGAAGATGTCGGGAGAGAGCTTTTTAGCCAGGTTGCTTCCATTCATATGTGTACTATACATGGACACTGATCCTCCGCCCCACCCCCTCCGGCTGTGGAAGGACTGCCTATAATTTACATGTAACCGAAGCCACATACTTTCCGATTTATTGTGTGTCTGAAGAAAGAGGGGCCAGATGCCGAGTGTCCAGTTGCTGAAGTTGTGGTGTTTTGCTGCGAAAAAAGTAGCCTCTGACCTGGCCGACTTCTGTTTTAACAGTCCCGATTGTGTTTCAGCGTTTAGTTTAGCGATGCACTCAGAAAACTGCTTTCAGTGATCAAATGAAACAAAGACACAGGTCTTTCAAACAAACGTGTTTGTGAGAAAACCAGATTATTTCCTCTGAAGACTAAAAATACTCTGAGGATGACTGGATAACTTCTTTGGAGGCGGGGGGGTGATTGCTCTGTAAAATAGCTCCGTACGTGGGACTTTATTGCAGTTGGACAAAAACCACAGACAGCTCCTGAGAGAATCATTGTCGCGTTCACTGTAGAGATCACGTCCAGGATGATTTAACAAGTCATTTTGTGAGCTCGGCACAGGTCGTCCTCGATAGCTTCGCGGCCCATCCTGCCGCTCGAGATGGTTCATTGGCAACTTAAACTCTTGTGATGCATCATCAGTCGTGAAGGTCTCTGAGAAGTTTAGTTTCAAAGTGCCCGCACTTGTCATAACAAAAGCCACTGATTTAACAGGAGCTGCGTTCTTATCTCCCCGTTTGTTTTTTGGGTTTCTCTCTACTTCTTTTGTTGTTTTTTTCTCTTTTTTTCTTGAGTAGGGTCCTCATGGAGTCTGGAGCTCCAGAGTGAGGCCGAGTTTGCTGAGACATTGCTCGCTGGTAGCCTTGGGCTTTGTTTAACCATGCATAATTGAGCCCTCCTCTTGGCTTACTCCCATGGTTGCACCCTTTTTTCATGAAATGGCCAAGAATGCAAACTACCCCCCTCCACTTCAGCCGGCCTTCCCTGGAGGACCTCAATCAGACAGTCACAAAGTGTACCAGACCTGCTTATCAGAGGGGGCAGGCCTGGCATGGGCTCCCCTTAAACTGCTCATGCACGGAGAAGTGCATGCACACACGCATGTGCAGACAAGTGGACGTGTCTTTTTGGGTTCTGGGGTCAATTCAGTTTGGATTTTCTCTCTTAAGAATTACAATAAATGACTGTCTTTTTTTATGCATAATGTTCTCACGACTATTAATGCGCCATCTAACAAGGCATTTTTTAGCCCTCTGCACCTTTAATTGTAGCAGGACGAGTTGCACTTTTCTCAGTTTGCCACTAAATATATTTCCCCTCAAAGATCCACTTTAACTTGAGTGAATATATATTCCCGCGTGAGTGTGAGGCAGGGTGGCTTCTCCAGATAGTATGGGGAAAAAGATAAAATATGCTGCTTCGGGCTGGATGAGCAGACTGTCGGCCGCAAGACTGGTGACTCATCTCCGTGTTACAGTAATCCAAGCGGCCTTTTGAAAGAACTGGCAGGAGAAGAGAGCTGAAGGGCTTGAATTTCTCAAATCATTCACCGCCACCAGTTGCACCTGCCAGGCACCGGAAATCAGAAAGTAGAAGAGAAGAAAGGGAACGTCGGTTTCTTTGTCATTTGTTCCTGGAGTCGTGCAGCGTGTTTATATGCACACTTGTTGGAGCCGTGCTATTAGAAGCACTTGGACTATGAAAAGAATAAGGTAATAATAAAGACTGTGGAAGCTGTCATATAAACCACATTCATTTCATCTTTCAGGAGTTCTCATTAGCAGGAGGCCGGTGAGCCGACACGCTAACAAGCCTGCAGCTGTGTTTTATTTTTAACGCCCTCGATGTGGTCTGGTTGGACTCGTAGTCGCACAGTTGAGATCCTCCGCTTCTTTTAATAAATATCAGTCAGACTGGATGCTGTGAGGCATCTTGCACCGAGGATGTTTCTCATAGCATGTTATAATATCGCCCCTTGATTAGAGCCGCAGCCAAATGTTATTCAATTTCACTATTGATTAAAAAGTACAAGATTTATTCAAATATTTATCTCTTAACAAGAGACCAAAACAATTAGAAAGGTTGTTGTTGTCCATTAACAGAGTGGGCCGAAGTCGGCCGCAGTTTACCTCATCGATACACCTCCACAGTAGTTTGTTCTTTGGAAATATCATTCTGTGCTATCAGCTGCATTACCAAACTGTCAGTACACCAACCCTTTCAGCATGATATGGACCAACTTAATGGTGCTTGAAGTTGGAAACGCATGAAGATGCATGAGCAGAAATTTTACAGCTGAACCCGCCTCCAAATCCCGAAAGCACTCGGACCAAATTAGATATTACTTTTCTTGTAATCAGAGAGAGAGAGAGAGAGAGAGAGAGAGAGAGAGAGAGAGAGAGAG